TACTCTCACATGTTTTGCAGCTTTGACTGTAGATTGTTTTGGGAACCAGGTTTTGCGACACAGTTTTTTCAAATATGTTATAAAATTAGACTTTAGAAACCTAGTAAACACAATAAAAAACAACCTATATAGGAGATAATAAACATTTTATCTTCTTTAAACTGTTCTCTTTTTTTTTTTTTTTTTTCTTCTTTCTTTTTTCTTTGATTTCTGAGCGTCTCTGAGCTCTTCATTCTTATCTTCTCAGAGCTGTTTGAATTTTATTTTTTAAATCAATAATTATAATAGTAATAAGCAATAATATTAACTTTGAAAGTTTATAAAGTAAAATGATTTTAATACATATCAAATGATTTTTAATCATTTTATAAAGTGGTAAACCACTTTTTTTAAGTTTGTATAAAGTTAGCATAAAATGTAAAATGATTTTTAATTTCAGGTTGTCGAAGAATTACTAACAGCACAAGAAGAACAGGGAATATTGGTTAAATACATGCAAGATTTAGCGTCTGTTCTGTCTTTAAAAGCGTCTCAACTTTTTGGTACAAAATTTTATCAAAATTTTTAATATTTAATTTTTTTATATATACATTTGAAATTATTGTATTTAAAAATTTATTAACAGAAAATGAGTTTTTATTGCCTGAACGTTTGATGGAAGCAGCAGAAGATTGTGTTACACTTTTTTTTAAATCTGACGATGATCCAATGGATGTGTTAAGGTATTCTTTGTAAGATTTTCAGAAAATATTAGTGAAGTTGAAATTTAGAAAATATTACTGAAGTTGAAACTAATTTTTGCTTTTTAGTAAGAGTTTCCATAAAATCTTATCATGTTTATCAGGGATTGCTTTAAAATTACCAGAAGGAGATTATGATACTGAACCTGAAAAGAAGGTTTTTTTAATACTTTTGATTTGGAATTTGTTGCTCTCTTTGTCACTCTATTCTTTGTTTGATAATTACCAAGATCAACTTATATATTTCTGTGAAACATCTTTAGCACCTCAAATATTTATATACTGAATATATTTATATACTGTGTTTTTAACAATTAAATTAGTTACCATGCAAGTTAGTTTGCGTTGTAAGTTTTCAGAAGCATAACTTTAAAAACAGTGTTCTCATATATATATATATATATATATATATATATATATATATATATATATATATATATATATATATATATATATATATATATATATATATATATATGTGTATGTGTATATATATATACATTATTATATATACACACATTATTTAATATAGCGAACACCTCCTTACCTTGAGAGAGCAGCTATATTTAAAGATGAGCTATCTTCGTCTATGAAATTAGAAAACATTATTGAACAGAAAGATCAAGAAATATTACATATTAAAAGGAACTTAAAAATTAAGGTTTTTATATTTTTATAAAAGTTTATCTTAAATTTTTAATTTATTTTTGTAAATTGTTAATTAATTTTTGTTTATTTTTCTCAAAGAGTGATGACTTAAGTGAAGCAAACATAAGAATAAGTTTACTTGAAAAAAGAGCTGATAATGCTGCTAAAGAAGTAATACTTTTATATATATGTTAATTTAAAAATAAAATGAACACAAATTTTTATGAAAGGATTTTTTTAAATTTTTAGGCTGATATTAAAGTAGAACAGATGGCTAAGAAGCTAGAGGCAACTGAAATTGCTTGCCGTGAGAAAACAAAGTAAGTTTAAAAATCAATATGAAAGTCTTTAAGCCAATTAAACCAATAGCAAATTACTTCACAAAATTTTATTTTTAAATACCATGGAAGTATATTATTTAATTGACTCAACCTTGAAAATAGAAATAGTTGTTTAATAATAGTTTTTTTATTTTTAATGTATAGAAATTATTACTTAATAAAAACAAACAACTTTGAACACTCAAAAATAAAGTTGCTTTACATAAAATATAATTAAACAAAACAAAGCATTACCACTTGAATTTTATTTATTAAAAATGTCAAAGGTTTCAAAGGTTGCTAAAAAAGAAGGATTTGTTTTAACCACATCCACAGGATTTTCCTGGATTGATGCCATCTATTTACTTGGTGCACTGAATTATATCATATTTGTCTTGTGTATAAGATTATTTATATGATATGTCTTTTATTCTTCTGAATGATATATGCCTTTGGTAAAAAATTACTACATCTGTCCAACAACTTCTGTGGAATAGTCCAAGATCATCTTTTAACTTTTGTTCAAGATCATATGTATTTTTTTTTACTCCAACAACATCTGTCCTATATCATCTGGAAATTCTGGAAATTTTATGACCCATAACAACATCTTTAAGCAGATGTAACTAAATCTGGAAATTTTTCTCGAATAACATCTGGAAGAATTCCTCTAGATGTAATTACATATGAAAAAAATCTTCTATGTAACTACATTTTGTTAAAATAATGCATCATTAATTATATTTTTTTTCCAGATGTAATTACATATGAAAAAAATCTTCTATGTAACTACATTTTGTTAAAATAATGCACTGTTATTTAACAATTTTCTAATCTAAAAAAATTCCGTAGTTATTCTTAATTGAAAAGATGTAACACTAACCCTTACGGGCTAGGCCCAATATTATTTAAAAACTTTGGCATACAAAATTTGCCGAATGGTCACACACGAGCAGTGAACGCCTGAGAGAAGAAATGATGTACATTAGAATAAAGGAGAATTATTTATTAGACAAAGCATATTTTGACAGATGTCAAGACAAAAATAAAGATTAATAGAGGAATATTTAAAAATAAATAAGACAGGCTATACACCCACAACAATAATAACAAAAAAAAAATTAAAAAAAAAAAAAAATTGTTTTATAAACACCAATATGAATGAAGATATAGATCACCAGACAAAAACTTATAAAACAAAAAACCGATCACAAAATAAAAAATATGATAACAACAATGAAAGGCATTTAATAATGGAAAAAAAACATTAATGCTAATGTGTAAACATAATCTACATCTGTAATATTCATATAATTTTCATTGATATCTAATAACATCTGTGTAAAATTTCAGATGTTGTTGGACAGATAATATTAGACATATCAAAAACTGATGTTGTTACCCTGATGGATTATATAGCATCTTCAAGCATGCAGCAATCATTTGTTCAGCCTTGCTATTTTCCTTTAAAAATTATGTGTTGAAACGTGATGCAAGTGTTACAGCTCTAAGATAACAATGATTTAATTACACATGATTTTATATGATGTATATAAAGCTTATAAGAAATTTTCCTATTGGTTGATAAATATGTAATCATCGTTGCAAAATGTAATGGGTTATTGTGTTGCCAGCAGGCATATTTTGCATTTATAAGTAATTATCTATAATAGTTATGAGTAGTCGGATTTTTTTCTCACCATCCTGAGGGTGTAAAAAATGTTTTCTCCACTATAGTGGCATAGCAAAATAGAGCAGTTAAAAAAAGAAAAACTAATTTTTATGAAATAATAAATGATATTATCTTAATTGATAATTTAAGATTATATCATTAAGATCATTGTAACGTATGCTTTAATAAAGTTCTTAACTATTAACTAAAGTTCAGCACTATATGATAAGGTTGTAAAAACTGAAGCATTATATTCAAAATTGATAAAATTATTGATACAACACTGTTAAAACATTTGATTTAAAATTTCTTTAGGCAAAGTGAAAAGACAATGGATGCATTACAAAGTGACATTGATGCTCTAGAAAATGAAAGAAGTGAAATGAGGAAAAAGTTGGAAATATTAAGTAAAAAGACGAGTATTGATATGTCTCGAACATCCAGCTTGCAAATGCTGTGTCAGTTCTTTATTTATATTTTAAATATAATTTAAATATATTATTTAAAAGTCTTAGTGATTTTAGTCTAAGTTATTGTTACTTATAATTATTTATTTATCAACTTATGTAAATATCTATGTAGTCTAATATTTAACAGTAAATTACAGTAAATTTAATTTCTTAAATTTAATTTTTTTAAATTTTATCTTTAAAATCTACTTCTCCTGATTAATAAAACAATAAAAAGTAAAAATTTAAAGTAAATAAAAGTAAAAAAAAAGTAAAAGTACATCTGTAAGTTAATTGTTAAACCTATAAATTATTCACTACGATTTATGTAAATATGATTTGTATCCTGCGTTAACTAATTTAGGTGTTACATTATAAGGTACATTATAATACAAAATATTACAGTCTTTTTCTACTACATACTAAACTTTGTTTTCAACAATAATCATGCTATACACTATATAATCTTTTAACACTAAATTATACAAGCTTTCTGCATACATACACAAGCTTTCTATCTAGATACCTTAGATTATCTTTCTACATCACACAAGTTTTTTCCCTGATTTTCCATTTCTATCATCTTTTAACATTTTTTCTTTTAACATTACAAACTAAAACTAGTGTGCAAGTAATCAGTACATTTAATGTAATGTCATTTGCATGTTAATTATACTGATTACTTGCACACTAGATTTGATATTTAACTTGTTATTTTGCAAAATATATCTATTTACAGTTGTAAACATATAAGTTACTTGACTGATATATATATATATATATATATATATATATATATATATATATATATATATATATATATATATATATATATATATATATATATATATATAAAGACTGACATTTATATATGCTATTTAGGTAAATTAAATAATATTAATAAAAATAGATATGTTAAGTACAAAAAGTTTATTGAATATAATACACATAATTATAGTTAAATATAAAATATATTTTTATTTTTAACTAGTTTATAGTTATATATAAATTTTTTTCAGAATATTTCTAAATTTGTTTTGTTTTAAAAAATAGCACCTGCAAAAGCTGGATCAACAATTGCAACATTAGCAAAAGCAGGTGTAGCTGGGGCTTCACCTTCAGTACAAGTTGTTCTTAAAGATTCGCCTGTCTTTCTAGCTCAAGTATGTGTATTTTTGATATTTGTTCAGATTTTTTATGAAATACTTAGATTTTTATATACTTTATATTTATAAAAAACAACTTATAAATGAAAATTTTGTTAAAAATAAAAAAATGGGTTTAATAGTATACAAATAATAAATGTTCATTTTTCAAATGACCACTCATTGACTTCGGTTGAGTAACCAAGCTTTGATCCAGTCTAAGAAAACTATTAAGAGTTTAGGAATGGCTAACAAGAAGCAAAAACAAGAAGAACAAGGAACTGTAACTTAATCTTGTCTAGAAATGTCAACGTGAAAATGAATTTGTCATTTTACAGTTTATGTAGTACAGTTTGTACTAGGCGGAAAACTTAGATAAAAGATAGTACAAAGTATCTAAAGATTAACTGGGACTCTTGTGTTATTTTATGCACTTTGGTTTTTGTCTTGATGTTTATCATCTTTCTAATGAATAAATGGAAGCTTTTTTTCTTTTATCTTTTTGGTTCCAATATCTTACTCTTTTCTTCAATATTTTTTATTGTAATCTGTATTCCTTTTTTTTTTTTTTTTTACCCAAAACAAGATTTTTATTATAAACAGAATGTAGAAAGAAAATAAAACGTTAAAAAAAATTTGTTCTTTATATTCTTGTCAAAATAATTTTTATTAATATTTTTATAAGAATAAAAAATAATATGTGAATTTTTTTTCTAAAGATGGAGGGGCAAAAGAAAGCTTTGGAATACCTACAAACAGAATATTGGTCGCTGAAGTGTGAAAAGATGAAAGTAGGTTATAACTTTTAGAGTTTTAAATTTGATCCAATTTTGTCTAAAATCTTTGATGTATAAATTCAAATTAATATGTATTCAATAGTTTTTTGTTCTATTAGAATGATTTGGCTTCTTTACCGAAACCTTATATCCCAAATATTGTGTGGAAAGATGGCAAATTTGTTAAGAATTCATCTGACAGTTCTAAAAAAACATCTCAAAGTGTTCTTAAAGAATGCAATGGGTTGTACCAAGTACATTTTACAACAATTTTCTTATTAATTATTTAAGATTTAATGCCAAATTTTCTTACATTTGAAATGTGAAAAAAATTTGATTCACAAGTTTGTTTTCAAATTTTTTTATAAATTAATATTTTTACTGGGTATTTTAATTTAATGATAAAGACTCTTTTTATATGACAATACTTATGTGTTTGGTGAGAGGTTTACAACACTGTCTTTGATTCTTTTGAAGCGAACTTTTTATTTTTTTACAAAATAAAATGTCTATAAAATAATTTTTAGAATCTTCGAAATTTGTCTGCATTTCCAAAGGTTGTTGATATAACAAAAGGTTTTACAAGTAAGTGCTCATATAACAAGTAAGTGCTTATATAGCAAGTGCTTATGAAACAAGTAAGTGCTTATTGCAACAAGTCATCGAGGATAATGCAAATCCGCGTAACTAGCATTGGCTACTATATTTGGATATTATTAATTTTAACACCAAATATTTATTGTTGAGATTACAAAAAACATGAATAATACTCTTTATACTAAAGTGAATCCAAAATTACTTAAAATAAAAAATATATAAAGTTTAAAACTTCTCCAGTAAAAAAAAAATGTACTGTAGATACGCGGTATTATCCAATGCTAGTTACGCGGTTTTGCGCTATCTCCGACGAAGTGCTTATGTAGCAGTTGTTGCAATAAGCACTTTTTATGTAGCACAATTACAATGTGTAATTATTTTATGTTTTTTAAAAGTATTTGATAGTATTAATGATTAGTTGATTTTTGTAAATTTTTTTTAGAAGATGGATTATACCGGCCATCTCCAGAAGAGCAACTGTTTCAACAGAAAGATTTACTTTTTAAACTTAGTAAACAAAAGGATGAGGTTATTTGTAGTTCTTCTTTTTAATTATTATTTATTTTATTTTTATTATTGTTGTTGCTGTTGTTGTTATTTTTATTGTCATTTATTATTATTATTTATTATAATTACATGTTGATATTCTTAATTATTATTATTTATAATAATAATAATAAATAATAATAATAATTATTATTATTATTATTATTATTATTACTATCATATCATGTTCTAAATCTAATTCTATAGGATTCGAATGAATTTAATATATAATAATAACAAATTATCCTATGTTTTTTTATGGCAGAGTAAAAGCAATACACCCCTCACCCTCCACCCACCTCCACCTCTCGCCCTTTACCCCTTCTAAATAAGGCATTATTTAGTTTTTTTTGTATATTAAAAAAATTCTAAACGATATAACAAACTATTTTTTTTAATTTAAAATGTTTTTTTTAAATTAATGTTTTTAAAAAACGGTTTTAAAAACACTAATTTAATATTAATTAATTTGTTCACTAATAATTAACTTCTTTTCCTTTTTTGAACTATTTTTCTATGACGCTTAGTTGCTTTCTAAGACACTTAGTTGTTCTCATGTTTGTTTTTAGATAGAATAAGTTCTTAAACAATTTATTTCAGCTTTCAAAGAAAGTTCAGGAAGTCATTACCGAAGAGCTTGTGGGCGGAGTAGTTCATAGCTATCTGAGAGATTTTGTTTCACCCCAATACTCTAGGGTAAATTAAAAATCTTTTTTTTTTAATAGATTATAAAATTGAAAAATAATGGTTAGATTTTTGGAAATTGTTGTTTTGTAGCTCAACCAGGAGAAGATTTCTCCAGTACATGTTGCGACCCTTCGATTTCCAGTTACTAATAATGAAGTAAAGCCTGGAGTTCATAACGTCACGGTGACAGCTCAAGAATTTATGCGCATTCATGAAGTACTTATCCACAGTTAATTATTTAAATTTTGTGTTTATTATATAATGAATTATAACCCTTCGGTTTCTTATTACTAATAATAAAGCGAAGGCTGGAGTTCATAACGTCTCAACATAACAGCTCATAATTTACGTCATAACAGCTCAAGAATTTACGCGCATTTAAAAAATACTTATCCATAGTTGATTATATAAATTTTGTATTCATTATGTAATGAATTATAAGGAAACAAGTTTATTTGTGTATTTTATTTTTATTGTTGTATCATTATTTCCATGTAGAATTTTTTTTTAACTTTTCGTTCTGTTTTTTTCTTTATAAGATATATTTTTTCCCCCATAAATCTTAAACCGTTTAACTCATAGCATATTCTCTCGTTCAAACTAATAAAACGTTATACGTTAGAAAAAAAAATTATTTTTGTAAAATTTTTCAAGCAGTCTTTTGATCAAATGTCTTGTTATTCAAAACAAAGAAAGCAACTTGAACTAACATATGCCTTTTTAAAAATGTAATTCTACCCTTTTATTGGTTGCTTTGCATATCGATAAATTACTAAAGAATAGTATTGAATAATTATTAGAGATGTTTACGACTATTATCATAAATATGCGTGGTATATATAGTTTAATAATTAAAACTTTCTGTTACGAGCTTAGTACTGAGTTTCTGTTCTCATAAATATAAATCTAGGTATATCAGAGTTATAGGAATGAAAAGTGTATGTAAGATGGATATACATTATTTATGTAGAAATAAAAAATTTAACATGCGTTTGCAATGTTTCAGTCAAATTAACCATACTTTATTGAACTTTTTATAAAAAAGTTAAAAGATATTCCTCTTTTTTGAACAAAATGAAATATAAGTGTCACATTTTTCCAAATAATTATTAAAAGGTTTTTAAAAGTATTTGAGCACTAAGAGATTTCCCAGAATGCAAACTTTTGTTTACTAATTAATTGCAGCTGTTGCGCAGTGGTTAGGGTTCTGGTTCAGTACCAAGAGGTTCAAGGTTCGATGCCGGTTCTAGCCCAGTAAGCGACACCGGTAAGCGACACCGGTAAGGGGCTTGAAATAGTTAAATGTTCTTCTATTGTGACAAAACTTTTTTTGTGCTTCTGAAAGCACAAAAAAAAAAGAAAAAATTGTTATTTTTTAAAATTTAACTTTTTGTGTGTCATATTTTGCGTCGCTTTCGATAGAAACAGCATAATTTGCTTTTGTTTTGAAAATCTTCATTTCATGAGTTTCTTTAAAGAAATGCAAATTCCTGTAGTTTTGTGGAGATTCATTGTAGTCATTTTTGGAAAAGTTTTTCTCTTTTTTTTTTTTTTTTTGAAAGCTTTTACATGCTTCATATCCTTTAAGTACGGGTTCATCTTTTTGTTTCTTAATTTTGAAATCAAAGAACTATCTAGCCAAACATAAAAGTTTTTATAATCACATATTTTTAGTAAATCAATCGAAGTTCATTAGCAAGTTGTATGTGATAGTTCCATTCCGCTTTTCGAAATTTTGAATCCTTTATTGATTTTAACTTTTTTTAAAGTTAAAATCAATAAAGTTTTTACCGCAAACTTCATTACATGATGTACGAGGATTTAGAGAATGTGAATGTACACCATTTATGATTGCAAAACAGAATTATATCAAGTATGTCTATAAACAGTTAATTACCAGAAGAAGTCAAAGTTACATATTATAAAATTTGGTGAGTGTACTAAAAACTACTAACCAAAAGTACAAGATATAATAAACGTTCGAATTTCAAACAAAAAAATTTTAAATCGTTTAGAGTTATTAATTAAGACGTAGTTAATGTTTTTAATGTGATATAATCTGGCGTTTGCTTTTTTGTGTTTATGTTTTATTAAATGTGCTTTTTTATATGAGTTTAATAATTTGTACCTTCTCCTTTTGAATTACTCCACAAAAAATTTTTTTTTTTAAATTTAAATTTTCATGCTATATTTTTCTATACAACGTTCTTATATCCGAAGATATTGTTGACTTAGCATTGGAAAAACCACAAATAGTCATTAAGACTAATCCAAATTAACGTCCGTTATTGACCAACATTTTAGCCTACGAAGTACTACTCAAGCGCTGAGTTGGCGGTGGCAGGATTTGAACTCGTAACGTTCAATAGTCCGTGTTTAAACTTTTCGTTTGATGCTCTAACCAACTGAGCTATCCAGACACATTTGGCATTAAATGGACAAAATTGTGCAAATTTTATAAAGAAAATTTTATTTTATTTTGTTTCAAAAAGTATTCAAATTTTGCAAGCTTTTTTTTTTTTCTTTCTCTGTTTACATAACATAAGAATTTTACAAATTCCACTACATATAAAATTTAACAAAATAAGTAAAACAGATAGGGGCTCAAAGAAGATGAGGATGACAGAACGTCATCGCAATCTTTTCATAGAACCGCTTTAACTGATAAGTGATTCACATCACTATTTGTTTTTACAACTGGTTAGATTATCAACTCATATTTCTTTTTTTAATTTTATTGAGATCAAAATTCCATATTTCTATATACATGGCTGTCCCAAAAAGACCTTACAGTGGGAGGAGGAGTGAGTGACGTATCTGTTTTTTTTGCCGATTAACAACTTATCGACAAAAAATTTGAACTTACCGACTAGTTTTTGAATAAGGTTTTTGTAGGGAAGCTATACAACCCCCACCCTCCAATAATAGCAACGGGCTTGTCTATAGTAAATGTTTGTAACTTTTTTTGATTCTAACATGAAGATATAATCAAGATTAAGCAAAAAGTTTTCAAAAAACATCCTATTTAACGCATACCAGCAAAAGCTTGTTCAACAAATTTTTTATCTAATGCTTTTTAATCGTAAAAATGATCGAAATTGTCTTAAACTTAAATTAACAAAATCTCCATACTTTTTGTAAGATTTTAAATAAAGACATAGTACCTCCTAGAGAAATTTTTCAAAATCGTCTATTAGAAAAAAATATAAAAGCATAGGTCACTCCTACAGAAATTTATTTAAAATCATCTATTAGAAAAGTGCTAAAGAACAATTTTTATTTGATTAATTTATAATACGCTAGCAAAAAAAAAATTAACGGAATTTCCTCTTTATAAATTATTTAACAGGTATTGCAACAACAAATAGTGTAAAATAGAATTATAATATCTAAACAGAAGTTTAGGTATTATAATTCTAAATACAAACATGTTAAACTTTATGACATTTCTGTATTTGATGTCAATTATTTTGGTATAAAACAAGATTCCTTTCATTTTATTCATTGTGAATATATTAATAAAAACAGTAACTAGAGACTCATCTAATCGCAGCCACACGCAAAATAATAATGGTATCATTATTGCAGGCTGTCATACCAAAAATTAAAATATATATTTTTTAATTTTTGGTATGTTTCTGTCAAATTTTTAAATTTAAAAATACATTAAATTATGAAAAACTAATAAAAAAAATTTTTTTTTTAAAAAAAATATTAACTTGCCTGTTGTTGAGGTTTTATTAAATATCACGAATTAATGTTAAAGCAATGTTTTTACTTTTAAATTTTTTTTTTAAACTTAAATAGTAACATAAACTTATAAAAATAAAATATTGAAATAAAACAAATGTAAAAAAAAATGTTATAAATTTACTAAGGACAGTACAATCACAACCTGCACTAGTTTTTACGAGCATAAATGTCCTCTCTAAAACTACGGTACCAATCCTGTTACCAGGACTTTGATTACTCTAAGCCTATAAAACTGCAATAAAAATTTAAAATGCAAACAAATCTGATTAGAAGTCTTATTTAAAATAACTTTTGTTGATAAAAAGTTTTCCCACCCCTCTTAATTAAATAAAATTAACCAAAGGCGCTTTTACTAACAAAACCAGTAGTTTTTAAAGTTGAACAAAGTGTCAACTTGCATGAGGAAGTAGCAATAAAAGTTATATTGAAAAAAAATCTCGATAAAATATCATAATAAAATCATGCCATAACAAAATCATGATCATAACAAAATCATGACAAATAAAAGAGAATGACAATATGATAAAGAATGACAATATGATCATACCATAGAAAAATTACGACGATGAAAAAATCATGCGCATACAAAAAGGAATAAAAGATTTTGTTACCATCGAAGATCAAAAGTCATCGAAGATCAAATTATTTTTGCAGAGATGATAATAATAAATCACTAGAAAATAAAAATTTATCTTATAAAAATTAATCGTAGAAACAGTTATAAAAATAGATGTATAAAATTGACTGCTACAGAAATTATATAATAAAGCTTATAATCGTTCGTTTCACTGCACATAAAATGATATATATAATGGAGCTTATAATGAATTTGTTTCACTGCGCTTACAACGCCTGCTTATAATGGGTTTGTTTCACTGCGCTTACGCCCGCTGCTTAGTTTGCATCTAATTTTATAACGAAAAAACCTTGAAGAAAATTCCTCCATAGTCATTCTCCAGTCTTTGTTATTTTTTTTTATAGCGGATGGTAACTTAAGTTGTAAAGAAAAATCAGTTTCAGCTATGTCTTCCCAATTGTTTATGATAAGAACTTGATCGCCTTTTTTTACATCACAGGACTCGTCATGTTGAAATGAACCAATAATAGGTTGTTGAGAAGAGTTAAAACAAATGTTTGCTTGCTCAGAGTTTAAATAAGCATTAGACTGGAGAGAATTATAGCTGGAACTTTTATTTAGTTTATTTACATCTTTTTCACCAGCATCAGCTGCAATTTTATCAGTGTTTCCCACTGTAAAACTGCGGTGCCTTAAACTTATTCTTAGCGTGTTTTTAGGAGTCTGACCGTAATGATCAGTCAATAAAGAGTTTTCTGATTCATCATTTTCGCTTCGAATTGAAAATTGATCAGTATTCATATCGATATAAGGATTTTCTGTATATTCGCTCAAAGATCCATCAATTTGTTTATGATTCTGTGAAGCATTATTTTCAGAGTACAAAGATGTTGTTGCGTTTTTTGAGCAAAAAGGTACTTTTTGAGAACACAAAGACGCTGATGCTATCGTTGCTCGTTTCTAAACAAACAATAAATAGTAATAATGATAATTTGAAAACATGATAAAAAAGATAAAGCAAAATAATAATCTACTTCCGTGAGGCCAGAAGTTGCATCATCTTGGGTTGGGCTAAAACCATTATACTGCTTTGAAGGGAAAGATCTTTTTATTTTTTCTTGCGAGATAGCAGATAAAAACTGATTAGGCGGCAATAAAAAAGATTCCGACAAAGGAAAGTCGCTATGCCGTCGAAACTTGGATATCGAAGAACTAAATTGAGAATTACTTTTTGTGCCAGATACAGATTTGCATACCGATATTCTGGGAGGTAAATTAGGTTTGCTGTCCCAACTTACTACAGCATTTGTGTTTGTTGAAAAACAAGATGAACGACGAAACTCCTTTTTTCTATTCATTTTTAAATTTAATCTAAATTCCTCTATGTCTGCATACACACTAAAAATAATATTTAATATACATAAATTTTTTAAATTCAAACTTTTTAAATTTAATCTTATATAATCAATATTTTTAAATTAAAGGCTATAATAAGGGCCGGATTTACCTAAAGGCTAACAAGGACGCAGCCTTTTGGGGCTTGAAAATGGGTTTAAAAAATGTTTCAACTTGCTAGGGTTTTTAGATAGTTATTTTAAAAATATTACATTTATGATTATAATGATTGCTATGACAGCAACTCCCATTTGGACAATTATTATTGTTTTGTAAAGTTTATTTGCACAATCATGACCGTACTATAATTTGCTTGAAGATTCGGCACAAAAGAAATTATTTTAGTGTCACGTTTATTCTAGAGAATAAACGTGACACTTAACTAAAGAACTGTAGATAAAAAAACTAATAATGAACAGTTCTAAACTATGTAACTATTTTTCATTCAAAGTAAATTCGCAAATTATTTTTGAGGGCTCTTAAAATTGATTCGGCCCCCGAGGGTGTAAATCCGGCCCTGGTTATAACCACCGTTCAGTAGACATCTTATTTTTTTTAAATCCTATTTCCTTAGAAAAAATTCAATAAGTGAAATAAATATAAATATTGTTCGTAATTAAAAATTTTTGCTTTTCAAAGCTTGTGTTGTTCTGAGTAAGTTATGTGTAATCCATTTTTTATGCTGATTATTTTATATTTTTAATTTTAATTAATTAATCTTGATTTTTTCTGATTTCATAAAAATTAAATAAAGAATTTTTCCTTTTATAACTTTTTTAACGAAAATTCGAAAACTATTTAAAACAATTTTTTTACAGAGTTTTGGAGTTTTTCGTCGATTTTTTTTGTATAAACCCTGTTTAAATATCTAAATAAAAAATTAAAAAAAAAAAAGTCAAAACATGATGTTTGTTATGTTTAATATTTTACTGAAGTGTTCAAAGTGTTAAAAAAAATTAAGCTCTATGACATTGTGAAAAAAAATGTCACAAAAAAAATATAACCAAACCTTGTGTTTGACTTTAAACTTATATCTCGAAGTCGTCTTTCTCGTTTTCTCCATTTCAAAAGAGTAAAAGTAATTACAATAAGTATCATTGTAAAAAGAGCTATTGAACCTGTTGTCAAAGCAGCAACTAAAGTGGCATTTGATGTTTCAGCTCTTTCAGGAGGATCTGTCTGATAGGTAGAATTACCTAAAAAAAATCTAAATATGTATTTTAATAAATTAAACCTTTAAATTAACTTTTTAAACTTGGTAATACCCTTAATACATTATATAATAATATATGTCGATATGGATTACATAGATTACTACAAGTGGTTAAAAGAACTTTATATGATTTTTAATTGCATCGAACAAAGTAGCATTCCTAAATTTTTTTATTGCAAGTAACTAATTAATACCTCAATCACTATATTAAGTAACCTATACCTTTCTCAAATACTATATTATTTAGTGGGTACCTTTTTCAAGCAATATATCATTTAGTCTGTACCTTTCTCAAGCACTATATTATTTAGTCCAAACCTTTCTTTTTGAAAATTTCACAACTTTAAATAGGAACATTTATTATTTCATACGGTGTGTAAAAAAATTATAGCTTATAAAAATGGACAGATCCATTAACTCAAAAATGCTATTACTTTGCATAACAGTATAAAATATCCAAGCATGTCACCATTTAAGCTGAAGCTTAAGTGATTACAAAACTACTCGGTATTTACATTTTTTAATAATAGGTTGATTGAGACATAAATCTTGATTGATTGAGACATAAACTTGCTTAAAAAACAGCTGTCTGAACCACTTTTTGATGAAATGAAAAAGGAGACTGGCTCAGGTAGTTCAATAAAGTATTGTCTTGACAAATTTTTCTTTTGAAGAAGTTCTTCTTTTATTTTATTTTAATGTTTACAAAAAAAGTCTTTCATTCTGAAGCTTATTTAATAGTGAATAAACCTGGTTCACAAATCAATAAATATATTAGAAATATTTTTGATATGACATTCATTTATATGATATGTGCAGGAAAGATATAAAATAGGTCTTAATTTGGTCCTTTTTAATGTACAAGTGCTTGAAGCTGTTGTATTAAATACAATACCAAAAATTTCATTATTTAATTCATATAATTAAATAAGGTCACTAATTATTACAGTTTAACATGCAGACAGGGTAACAAAACTTAGTTAAGCACTTGTTAAATAGTTTGAAAAGTGTTGAAGGGAGTTAAAAAGTATTGAAGGTTTTTTTAACTTTTAAATTTCCTTTAATACTTTAGTACTAAAAGAAAATTTAAAAGTTATGAAGGGAGTTGAAATGTATTGAAGGGAGTTAGAAAGTATTGAGGAGAGTTTTGCAAAAGTTTCTTTGTAAGATGGTAAGTATGGTAAGTTTCTTTGTATAATGGTAAGTGATAGTTGGTGATTGAACCACAAACTGGTGGTAATAGGAATGTTGCCAGAACCACAAACTGTAGAAGAGTTCAGCAATAAATAAGTTTAGAAACCAAAGTCAACGTGATTTAAATGTCTAGCAGACATTATATGGTATGTCAGCAAAAGTGTGTCATTAGATTTAAGAAATTTAGTACAAAAAAAAAACTCTTTGAAATAATTATCCTTGGAAGAAATAAAGTCAGACTCATTAATGTCATTAAAGAGTTGTCTTTATTAAAGTGAGGTGAGGGAGGGGGGGGGGGGGAGTAATCAAAAATTGACGTAATTTTATAGGGGGAGGGGGCGGGGGTCTCTGGAAATTTGACAAATTGTTGACAAGGGGGAGGGGGAGGTAAAAAACTCAAAAAAATTGTTGATGTAATTAATGAACAGCCCCTTATGTGACTTCAACAATGCCCACCAAAAGAACTAACAATGACACCATTCATGCCCAACTTTGCACTGTTGATACTCTGAGTCTTTACAACTATTAATAAATCAACTTATCTTAGAGCTACCACAGAGTTAAGAAAACCTTACTACCAGAGAGCTTCAGTACTATTAAACTGGATTTTAATGCTATGACTGTTTGTTAATTTAATATAAATCATTAAAAAAACTAGCACCATTCTTCCATTGTATTATTTGCAGCGTATTTTTGTGTCTTTGTGTCAGTGTATTAACAGTGCTCTTTTATTGATTATTATATATAAAAAAGCTTCAAATTTTTATCTTTAAAAATAAACAAACCTTATCAAAAATGGGCCTAAAAATATTTTTGCAATCAGAGTTGGGCATCTGTCAAAAATAATTTTAAAAATAGTTTTTCAAAAATATATTATTTAATTTACAACAATAAACAACTTTATTGTTATAAATTGTAAAAAATAAATAAAGTAAATTTAAATGTAATATAAAGTTGAAGTATTTTTATAAAAAGATATCTGAAAATAAAAATAGTACCTTTTTCCACATATTTACAGGAACACGTTGTGTTAGAAACTTGAGAAAGATATGATGTAGAACGTTTGCACGTATAACTTTTATCAACACATGTCGATTTTTCTTTAAAAAAGGAATTTGAATATTCTAATCAATATAACACTATTTACATTATATATATATATACATATATATATATATATATATATATATATATATATATATATATATATATATATATATATATATATATATATTTATGCACAGACACAATTATATATATATTTTTTTGAATTCACCTCCTCAAGGCCGAGAAGGCCACTACAGACGAGGAGGCTACTTATTTGTGGTTATAACCCTCTCTCAACTTTATAACTCCGAAACACGAATTTAACATTTATTTACCAAATTTAATTTATGCAAAAATGTCATTACATTACAAAATCAGGAGTTTGAACATACTGAAAAACCTGGTTGCAATATTAGGAGAATAATAGGATTCTTAATGTCTTTAATCAAGTAATGCCTTTTTAAGCATTTTAGACCTACAGAAAAACTTTTGAAAAAACCTGCTGTTGAAAATAGTACACTTGCTAAAGAAAATGTGCAGTTAATAGTTGCCATCTAATTCTTGAAAGAAAATCAGCAACAATATTGCATTTGTTTGCAAATGGCTTATATTAAATAGACTTATTTCAATATTTGAAATTTGCAGCTAATAAATAAAATAGTAAATAAATAAATAAAAAATTTTTTTTTTAAAGATGTATGATCTACTACCTTATCTTCAAGATTTAAAAAAGTTAAGCGGGCTCCGTAATCGTAAGCAACCATTATTATTAATTATATTAACAATTTACCAATTTTACCTAATTCTATTTTGGGTATTTCCAAAAAATCACCAAGGGTGATTTTTTGGAAATACCCAAAATAGAATTATGATTTCAAGTTAAGAACTTATTTTAATAAGTTCAGCATTAAAAGTTTAGTTTACAATAACTTTTAAAATTAGCATTAACTTCCAAAATTTCCACAAGTACTACTGTTTTAAATTTACTTTCTAACAAAATTTTAAAAACATTTATCTTAAGTGAAAGTGTAGATGGATGGGGAGGTTGATAATTTTCATTAGCAAGAGATGAGCACAATTTAAAAAAACCAACTTTCACCAGCCAAAATGTTACAGAAATTTTCATCTGCAGTAATAAATTCCAGTACAGCAAATTCAATCAAAATAATTTTATATCTCAGTGGTAAAGAGAAATATTGAAATGTAAATAACTGTTTATACAAATTAAATGCTGACCTAGGGAGATTAAAAGATTTTAAAGTTTTTAACTTTTAAAGTATGTGAGCCAATGTTTTATATGACCATGAAAATGGTCATATAAAACATTATATATACATATATAACATAAAATATATACATATATATATATATATATATATATATATATATATATATATATATATATATATATATATATATATATATCAATCTTAAACCTATGTATTGGATGTAATATAGGTGGCATCTTCATGAATATGTTGGCTTACGCTGATGATATGGTTTTAACTGCACCATCTTGGTCTTCTCTTCAAAAACTAATTAGCTTTACAAATAAGGAATCTTCCTTAATTAACATGTCCTTTAACGCAAAGAAAACTGTATGTATGGTGTTTAACCTAACTCAAAAATCAAAAATTATATCAAACTCCTTCCCAGAATTGTGCATATCAGGCTGTAAAATTGCTTTTGTTGAATCTTTTGAATACCTTGATCATATAATTAAAAATGACCTAACTGATGATACCTTATATTATAAAAAAGATCTATTCATATTCTTAAAACTTTCTATTGGTTCTCACAAGCAACTCTGTTAAGTTTTTTCAAAATTTTATTGGATTTAGGGGGAGCACAAGACCTTTGAACACTTACAGGGTCCCTAATAATATTAAAAAAAATTTTTCTCAAAAGTATGTCATGTTGAGTCTCAAAAGAAGCAAAATTATATAAAGATTTTAAAAATAACAATTATTTAAAAAAAAAAATTATTCAATTTTTTTTTTAAATAATTATTGGAAAAATACATTTTTTTCATTTTTAGGTTAAAAAAGGTCATTTTTCTGCAAAAAAACTCTAAAATAATAATTTTTTTATAAAGTGATTGTTACTTTTGAAATTTTTATATAATTTCGCTTCTTTTGAGACCCAACATGACATACTTTTAAAAAACTTTTTTTTAATAATATTAGGGACCTGGTAAGTGTTCAAGGGTCTTGAGCTCCCCTAAATCCAATAAAATTTTGAAAAAATTTAACAGAGTTGCTTGTGAGAACCAATAAAAAGTTTTAAGAATATGAACAGATCTTTTTTAGAATAATCTTTGAATGTCATTTTCTTGTTATACATTAAAATATGGTTAGAATTCAATAAATACGGCTGCGTATAAACTTTTTTTTTTTATATATATATTTTTTCTTTAATATATAATTATTTCGATATTTCGCTGATCTATTGTGATCAGCGTCATCAGGTATAATAAATAAAATAGTTACAAAAATCGTATTTGTAAATAAAATACTTTTCATTGATGCAAAGGTTACACTTTTTTGTAGATGGGTTAAAAGATTGGCATTTTTTAATTATGTTCCACTTAATTATAGACATGTTACCCGCGTCTTTAAGTTTCCAGATTTCCTTGGAAAGTTTCGCATCATTCCTATACCTGGTTGCATTAAATGATTTAAAATGGTTTGCAAATCTGAGCTTGAATGTGTTTTCACTAATTCCGATGTAGGATTTTTTGGTAAGACTGGTATTAGGTGATTCTAAAGTGGCTTTATATACAACATTTTTTGATAGACATTGATTATTTAACAGGCATGTGGTTTTATTAATGCAGTTACAGTTTATATCATTATCGGTAAGTTTGTTGCGCAAAATTTGTTGGTTGTGTGAATTAATTATTGATCGAATATTTGGCAAATAATTTGAAAATGCAAGTCAATTAAGTTTAAGAAAAGATGTCCAATTTTTGTTATCATTTTTACATTTTTACTGTAAGGAGGGTTAAACCATATAATATTTCTTTTTTGTTTATTAGTAATAGAAGAATTTAGATTTGAATGATATTGGAGAATGGTGTGAAATCCAGACTTTTCTAATGCGTCATTATAAATTGGAGCAGTCTTTTGGAATATCTCTTCGTTTGAAGAATTGGAAGATAACCTATGTTCAATTGAGATTGGTAATTGTTTTAAAATGCTTGGTGGATGGTTGGAATTAGCATGGATATAATTTAACGCACTATCAGGTTTATGGTAAGGTTGAAAAGTGTTGTTATTAAGATTAAATGTAACATCGAGGTGATTAACAACTTTCATGTTGGATTGAATGGGAATACTGAGGTTGTTTTGTTTAAATATTTGGGTAAAATGTTTCTTAATTTTTTTCCATTTTTGGACCGCTTGCGTTTTTAAACACAGCTAAGTCATCGTCTCTATATAATCCAAAATCAGTTTTATTATAAAATTGCAAAATCTGGAAAAGAAGAAAAATACCAACTAATTTGCACACCTCTGCTCCATCAAATGCACCCATGGTAACATCAAACAAACCACCTGATTTTTTAATCCAAACTTGGTCATTGGTAAATAATAAAGATTTACGCGCGTGGAGGCTTAAAGATTTATAATCAACATCAATGGAAACGTATTGTTCTGCAAATTTTATGGAATCGATAAGTAGCTTTTCATTAATAGAAGGATAAAAGTCAACGATGTCGAAAATAAGGAATTTATAAAAATGTTTGTCATTGATGTTTTTGAACCAATTTATTACATTTTGTGTACTATTCCACTGATTTAATGGCAAAATATTTCTAAGTATTTATAAATTTCTAACCACAAAATATTTCATAACAGCATAATTAAAAGATGCCAATCTTTTAACCCATCTACAAAAAAGTGTAACCTTTGCATCAATGAAAAGTATTTTATTATGACTTTTGATAGTCGACTGCTACTTAACAAAAAAAGTGAATTGGTTTCTGGTAAAAATCTTACCTCTTGCAAATCTGGTGAGTTTTGCAAGAGGTAAGATTCAACTGATGGAAGGATACTTTGCAGACCACCAATACTAGTAAAAGATGTATTAAAATGTTAGTTGGTGGGGATAGTTTTTTATGTTTAATATTTTGATTTACTTTTGGCATAATTTAAGTTCTCTTAAACAATGAGCTATGCAATTTTTAGTCCTTTTAATTAACCCTTAGTCATAACATAGGGCTCCTCAACAATGCGAACCAAAAGCATTAAAAGGGACACATCATCTTTAGCAACATGGCACTGTTAAACTCTGATATTTTGCAATTGTTGATGGAACTAGCCTCTCGGAGAACTACCACAGAGTTCGAGAAACCTTACTACCAACCAGCCTCAGAACCCTTAAACTGAGTTATAGAGCTATACCCTCATTAGGAGATAACTTGTCATCACTGTCCTTCAAAGTTAGTGTTCATTAATTTGTCACCACTGTACACTATTTTGTTATTTTAGACAAATTAACCAAAAAATATTAAGCTTTTTTAAAATGATTGCTGCTCCAATTATTCAATGCAGCAAGATTCCTTGTTTGCTCTATTTAGTCAGTAGGTATTAAAGCAGCCATCATTATGACATCAGTATTTCATAATATATCACTGAAGATTTTGTTAGTTTGTAAAAAAGTCAATACATGTCATGTTTCTTTTGGTTTAAAAAAACTCTTTACATGTCATGCTTTTTAATTTAGTTACAAAAATACTATTGACTTAATCTTGATGACTTAAAGAAAGTTAAAAGTTTTGTTAAATTAATTTTTGATAATTAAATATTTCAATTACTTAAAATAATTATTTTAATTTTTCAAGTCAATAAAATTATAAAATATATGTAACAAAAATATAAAATTACATCATAATAACAACTTTTGCTAGATTTTTTATTTTAGCTCATTGTTATTGATTTTGTTTATTCATATTGAAAATTTATTGATTTTACCTACACAAACGGGAAATATACTTTTCCATTGACCATTTTCTTGACACACAGTAGAATCTGAACCAATTAATAGATAATTTGGGGAACATTTAAAAAATAAATACTCCCCTACAGCATACTCAGTCTTGATGTTGGAATGGAATCCATTTTCCAGAGGTGATGGAGGTATGCAGAATGCAACTGTTATAAAAAGATTTTAAACTTCATATAACAATATTTACATAAAATTATAAATAATATAATTAATAAAGTTATAAAAAATTATATTAAATCAATTACCTCTGCAAGTATGTCCATTACCAACCCATCCTGGGTTGCACTTACAAATATATGATCCTAATAAGTTATAACAGTTAGCTTTAACATGACATGCTCGATTATCTGTGCATTCATTTACATCTAAAAAAATAACCATTAACTCACAAAATATTTAGTTTTAAAAGATTTTAAAACTAAATATTTAATCAGACAAATTTTTGTATTTATTAAAAAAAAAAATACAAAATTTTTTGTATTTTTTTAAATATTAACTTAACTTAAATAAGATTTTTTTGTTTTTTTGTTTTTGCTTTTAGTAGAAATATATAAAAGAAACATCACATCTAGAAGCATCAGAAGTTGATCAGAAGTTTCTCATGTCTCCAATAAACAATCTTGAGCATCTTTTTTCCATAACCGCAGCTTTATCATGCCTTTATCTCTCCATGTTTACCTTCTTCTTCTCCTGAAAGAGTTAAAAAGCTCTCTACATGCTGATCTCATATTCCCTCTCTACCTACTAATCTTTCTCTACATGCTGATCTCAAGCTCTCTCTCTCTACATGTTAATCTCAAGCTTTTGCTCTTCATTATGATCTATCACTCAACATGGTGATGCTCATGTCGAAACCACCAACAATGTTCACATGTTGAAACCACCTTAATTGCATTCCAAAATCTTCCACATTACAAAATAACCTCTTTAGTGTTTTTTTCTTGCTCACTTTTTTAAAACTTTTATCTTATTTATGTTTATCTTTCTCTCTTTTATTTCCACTCTACCATTTCAACACTGAAATCTTAGTACTAATTCTTATTCTGTCTCTATAATTAAGCATAATTCATCTGCATAGAATATTCTCCCTAGGTAACACAACACTAAACTACAAAAACAATAATGAACAGAAAAGGACAAAGCATTAAACTCTGATACACCCAACCTTTACTTTAAACTATCATTCTCTCTCTTTTTTTGATTGCTTTTGAGAAACTTTTATACACAGGCATAATATCTGTTATTGTGTTATTGAACAAGGCAAAAAAATTATCATTAAAATCTATTAAGCAGATAAAAGGTCATTGTAAGGTCATTAAAATCTATGACCTTACAGTGGTACAATAAAGTTTGGACAAATACAAATTTGTTCAAACAAATATTTTTTGTAAGCAATTTAAAAGAAAACTATAACAAGGGGATTTTTAGTTGTTTTTTTTGGTTTATTTTTTTGGTTTAAAAATTGCCAATTAGTTAAACTTAAAAAAAATCATTCAGCAGGTTAGTTAAATAAAATTCTAAAAAAAAAAAAAGGTCATAATTGTCATAAGGTACAATTGTAAATACTTGCACCAGAACTGTAGACAAAAATTGTTATTAATGAATTACATGTTGTATTTAAAAAATAAGGTCAGTTTTGTACTCTGAAACCTAATAAAAACAATTAAATATGGCAATACCAATCTTATTGATATTGTAATATATTCTTGGCAAAAGAAAAAAGTTTTAATAATCTTGTATTTTAGACGTTTGCAATTTATGAAGTAAATAACCACTTGAAATAAGTTTAGAAAGTTTTTTGCTTGAAGCAAGAAAGCAAATAATAACTTTCTATAACTTAGGTACATTGAACAAGTTTAAAATTGCTAAAAAAAGAAATCCATCAGAGAAATACGACACAAGGATTAAAACATTTGAATCACTGAGGTCTGGACCAAAAAACTGATGAACGTAGCATAATCATAGATAAATATTTTAAACAAGAAAAATCCAAAATATTAAATCTGAAACTTTCAAATGAAATTCAACAATATGAAAACTGACTGTGGTGTAGGCAGAAAGACTATTTGGAAGAAATTGAAAAATCGAGAATCAGTTCTTACATTGTTTAACATAAGCAATTTTAAGAGTCACAGACCGCATTGCAAGGAGAAAATAATGTCAGTAACTAACTGAGTTAGTTAATGACATTATTTGGTCTGAATTGAAGCCAATTTTTTTTGAAATTTTAATTGTAAATCAAGAGTACATGAGAAAAGGTTGAAAAGCAATAAGTAAGACACTTGCTTGTGTGTACAGCATATTTAAGCAGACAGTGTCTCCATAGACATTTGGAGATGTATTTACCATAAAGGTGTTGGTTCTATAAAAATATTCACAAGTTAATTAATCCATTTTTATAAAAAAACACCTTGAAAACATGCTTGAAATGGTCAAAACCAAAATTCTACTGAAGATCTCGCAACTTTCAATAACAACAAGATGGTATACCTTGCTAAACAGCCAAGAAAATTAAAGAATATTTACAATCAAAATAAATACCTTTATTGTCTTGGTGTGCCTGATCAACTGAATTAAGTTCCATTAAATACATTTGGGCCAAGGGATGTAAAAATGTGTTTTAAAGTCAAGGGTGTATTTCAAGTATTGAATCTTATTGTTTTTCACTATTAAATCTGGATTTGTCCAAAATTAACTGTCACTTTTTTTTTTCGTGTTTTATTTAATTAACATTTTATTATTTTTTTAACTGCTAATTTCTTTAAGATTTAAATCAACTGACAATTTTTTAAATAAACAAAAATATACAAAATTAATAAACAAAAAGAAAATTATTTACAGCTCTCTCATAGTTTTTTTTAATTTCTCACAAAAAATATTATTTTGAACAAGTCTTTATTCTAAACTAAAGTTTAAACTTTATTTTACCACTGTACAAAGAAGATTGAACTTTAAATGCATATGTACAACATTAACATTAAAATCTTTCGAAGATTTAAAATTTAAAAATCTTTTAAAGTGCATCTTCAATAGTGTTGCCGGGGGGCACTTAACTTTTTTAATGTTGCCATTATGAGAAGATAAAAAAAGTAAACAAACTGTTTGCGGTTTTAATTTTAATACCATTTGTAATAGGTTTTAGTACCAATATTAATATATTATTATATTTTAATACCATTTGTAATAGGTTTTAGTACCAATATTAATACATTATTATAATATTTAATATTAATGTGGTATAATAATCAAAAATTTTTTTAATTTTTTAAATCAATGTAAAGTTTAATAACTATATCTACTGTAAAAAAAAGTTGTACTACAAAACACCTTCCATACACAGATATGATCACAAATCATTTAAAAGGCAAATAGACACTTGCTCAATTCCAGAGAGCAAATTCAAAAATAATAAAGAAAAAAGGATTTGAAGGCCAATAAGGTTGGGTCAGGAATGCAGGAGTTATTAGCATAGGAAGTTTGCAAATTGTTAAGAAATAATATATTTGGTAGAATTTTTAGTTATTTCATTTTCAACATCTTAATAACACCCAAATTATTATTGGACACAACGGATTGTTGCCAAATTCATTGTGTCCATAGATTGTTGTGTCTATGGATTGTTGGGCCCATGGATTGTTGCGTCCATAGATTTTTGCAGAACTTAATATCCAAACTGTAATTGCAAGGCAGGCTTTGCTGAGGCATGCAATGAAACAACTTGCTATTTTTAATAAGAAAAAAGAAAGAAAATTATCACTTAAAAAAGGCCATAAATATCATTGCAAAAGTTCAAACTCATCTTCTTGTTACTGAATACTAATGCAACAATTTTTTTTTCATGGACAGTAAAAGACTTTAGTTCTTAGAATTTTTTGTGAAGAAATCTTAACATATCAAAGGAATTTAAAAAAGGTATTCTTATCCTTAAACAATTACTTTCAAAACTAGTAAACTTGAACGCATTAAAGTAATATTTTATTATTTCAGAATACTGTCACATCAGTTCAAAAGATTTGCTACTATAACATCAGTTCAAAAGATGGCAATATGATTGTAAGTTGTACATTGTAAAGTTAAAAATCTAGAAAGATAAATGGTTTTGTCTGGAACGCTAACAAAAACAAACATTCTAAAAGTAAAAAAATGCATGCTAAGAAAAAAAAAACTTCATTAACTATTGAACAAAAATGTTGAGTATAAATATATACACATTTATATATATATATATATATATATATATATATATATATATATATATATATATATATATATATATATATTTATATATATATATATATATATTTATATATATATATATATATATATATATATATATATATATATATATATATAAATATCTATATACATATATCTATATATATATCTATATATATCTATATATATATCTATATATATATCTATATATATATTTATATATACATATATATATATATATATATATATATATATATATATATATATATATATATATATATATATATATATATATATATATATATAAATGTGCATTATATATATATTTATATATACATATATATATAAAAATGTAAGTTGCGAGATCTTCAGTAGAATTTTGGTTTTGACCATTTCAAGCATGTTTCCAAAGTGTTTTTTTATAAAAATGGATTATTTAGCCTTTGAATATTGTTATAGAACCAACACCTTTATGGTAAATACATCTCCAAATGTCTATGGAGACACTGTCTGCTTGAATATGCTGTACATATTTATTATTACTTATTGCTTTTCAACTTTTTCTCATGTAATCTTGATTTACAATTAAAATTTCAAAAAAAATTGGCTTCAATTCAGACCAGGTTAGTCACCGTTAGTTACCGACATTATTTTCTCCTTGCAATGCGGTCTGTGACTCTTAAAATTACTTTTGTTAAACAATGTATATTATGTATGACAAAAAATATATATATATATATATATATATATATATATATATATATATATATATATATATATATATATATATATATATATATATAGAGAGAGAGAGAGAGAGAGAGAGAGAGAGAGAAAGAGAGAAAAGTTTTATAATACACAGTAAAAAAATAGTTTGTTCAATAAATCTTGTAAGCATCTGTATAGTTTAATATCATATTATTTTTAAATTATTGTTCAAATTATTTGCTAATTAAATGATATTAAAGATAGACATAAGTTAACATACTGAATGAACAACTTCATTTAATGTTATATGAGATTCTTCATCTTTAGTAAATAAAAAATTAACATGGTATATTTTATAAATTTTTATGTACAATAAAACGCTCCTTTAAAAATCTATTTAAATATCTTAATGATATATTTTTTATCATATTGGTTTTTTATCCTTTCATAATGGCAACGTTGACATTTTTCAATGTTGAGCCACGGGAACACTCTATATGGCCTCACCCATTATGTTAATTGAAAAATAAATAAAACAATGCACTTATTTACCTCAAAAATTGTTTAGTCTTCTAAAACCTAATAACAACATTGCCACACACTAGAATATTCTTTTGATAAAAGGTGTATTTTATAAATCTGTTAACAGTTTTAAAGCAATTTATAAGGACCAGCAGATATACTAACAACAGCCTTATTACCATAGCTAGCTTACAAAACAGATTTGATAAACATCTTCTTGCCTCCACATTTTAGTAAAATGCAGAAAGTTATGCACTATCTAATACATACAGCATATATATCCATTGTAGCAGTGCATTGCACATACATTGACTAATATAATGATAAAGTTTTGATGAATATTTAAATATATTATTTTAATAACTTTTTAATAATATAATCTTATTATTAATAACTTATATATTATTCTTATTATATATGTTTGGATCAAAATCTGACAATTTAATTACAAATAAATTTTATTGTCAAAATGATTTTTTTGTCAATAGCATCAAAATAAAATTTTCAATTTTTAACTTTTGTTTTGAATATTAAGTCTAATTTTTTCAAAAGTTAAAAAAAGAAAATTAGAATTTTTTTAGTAAGTTTGGCAATAAATCATATAAAACGTAACTTTCATGAACTATTTAAATAATTTATTTATTTAACTATTTGAATATTAAGTCTAATTTTTTCAAAAGTTAAAAAAAGAAAATTAGAATTTTTTTAGTAAGTTTGGCAATAAATCATATAAAACGTAACTTTCATGAACTATTTAAATAATATTTAAAGCTAATATTAATATTTAATATTTAACTAATATTAATATTTACATATTACTTAAATAGTAACTAAAAATTATTACTTATTAACTTTAAAACAAATGTGAAAATGCTTCCTATTACTTCTGCCAGCGAGACAAATACTGCCTCGCTTGCTGTATATTCTGCCTCTAATCATTTTGTGTCCAAAATTTCTTCTGGAGGCAGCCACCAATGGCTTCCCCCTCCTTATTGGGATTGATCTATAAAAAATTTTGCCTCCAAAAGAAACTCTGGCTTTGGCTGCAAATAGAAAGGAGGAAGCTGCTGGAGGCAGAAAACATTTTGCCAAAAATTTAATGGGAGGAAACCTTCAACCTAAAACATCAGCCTTTTGGCAGAAAGTTACTTTGCCGAAAGTTAATTTTTTCAAATTTTATTTGTAAATTAATATTAAATACTATTATTACCTACACATTTTGGACCAACAACACTTGACCAATGCTCTGATGGTAAACATTCATCATACTCATCACCAATATTTTTGTAACCATTTTTACAAACATAGTGGACTATATCCCCAACTTTGTACGTTTCATTTTTTTGAGTGTTTAGAAGATCTGAATGATGTCGCGGGCGACCACAACTTTTAACTAAGTTTAATTGTACAAATAAAAACTCATTAAAAAAAAAATTATTTTAATTATACATTTTAAACAAATTTATAAATAAATTTATATAATATTTATAAGTCATAATATAAAATATGAATGAAATCATTAATCAAATTTTTAAAGACATTTTTAAATAGTTAATTTTAACAGCTTTCACAATATTTTTTCTGAATTTTTAAATTTTAAATTAGTTTACCTTTTTCTTTTTTTCTTTCATTTTTAGTTTTCTTTCATTTTTACTTTAGTAAATTTAGTTTTAATCAGAACAATTAGTTTTTAATAAACTTTTTTTTTTTGCAAAACTACCAAACTGCAGACACTTTAAGTCACTTCAATTTTTCTAAGAGACCTAACAAACTAAAATTTTTGTTACCCCAGAAACAATATTATCAATACCCAAAATAAACAGTGGTTTAATAACATTTTATTATTATTATTTTATTATTCGACTGGATGTCGAATACCTGGTTATTTAAAAATTATCTGACCAGATAATGTATTTCAAATCCTAAATTATATAGTTTATTATGACAATATATTACCGTGATAAACCTTCAAAATGATAAGTTTTGTTTGGAAGCTTTTCAAAATTAATGATAACTTTGATTTCACAGCAATATGCATTCCATGTGGAAAGCAGATAAGCAGGGGATGTAATAAATCTGGTCAGAAGTCATTTTGCACTTCTCCATTGCATAATCATGCTAAAAAATTTCATTGTAAATTGAAAGAGGAAAAAAAAATTATTCTTGAATCTTCTTCAAAATGTTCAACATGTATTGAATTCTCCTTTTTAAAAGCTGAAGTAATAATAAAGGAAATAATGCTTTCTTTAATCACTCGATTATAGAAAAAATAATGACATTTTAAATTATTGGAAGAGAAGTTTCCACTGCTAAAAAAGTTACTTAAGTTACTAGAACCACCTGGATTCTCTGAATTTTCAAAAGATTGTTTTCATTATTTATGAGAAAAAGTGATCAAGGCTAGAAATGTTAATTTCTCTACGTTCAGGTAAAAGAAATAAAAATGAGTGATAAACTGATCAGCTTATCACTCATTTCTATTTCTTTTACCTGAACGTGGAGAAATTAACATTTTTAAACATTTCTAACATTCTAAACATTTCTAACATTACTAAAATCATATCCCCAATAAATACATCAAGGTATTTATTGCGCATATATAATTTTAGTATTTTAATAATAATAATAATAATAACAAAATTGAATAGAAATCATTAACATTAGATTATTTAAAAATGTTTCTAAATTTTCAAATGACATTAACATGAAATATCCGGTATATAAAAAACCTGATATATATATATATATATATATATATATATATATATATATATATATATATACACACTATAAAAAACCTGATATTAGTATATATATATATATCTCTTTGACTAACCAACTTCTATGACCGTGGCAAGATACAGAAGGGATTGGAGTGTGGTGCCAGTAAACAGTTTCTTTACCAGATTCCATTTTATAAGTTGTATTAAATCTCCACAATGACATCTTTGTTTGAGTGTGCTCAGGTCTAAAATGCATAGCTTTTTTTTATAAGGCAGATGCTTTAAGCATGCCAAGCATCTTGTTGGCCTTAGAGATAGCAGTGCATACCTTAAAGATAGCAGTGCATACCTTAGAGATAGAAGTGCATACCTTAGAGATAGCAGTGCATACCTGGGCATTTTGCAGTGCATACCTTAGAGATAGCAGTGCATACCTGGGCATTTTGAAGTGCATACCTGGGCATTTTGCAGTGCAGTGGGCATTGATATATTGATACTTAGAGATAGCAGTGGATACCTGGGCATTTTACAGTGCATACTTGGGCGTTTTGCACTGCATACCTGGGCATTACAACTGCTTTACACTTATGCCAGTTCGCACTTATGACAGTTTGCACTTATGCCAATTTTTGAGGTCCTTGCTAACTATGATTCCTAAATCACATTCAGATTCCAAATTAAGTCATGTCAAAATGTGTGCTTTTTATTTAGGCAACCGGTGTGAAGTACTTTTCGTTTGAGATGTCTAGCCTCATATGCCATACTCTTGTCCACTCAGTTATAACATCAATAACATTTTGGAGCACAGTACAATCATTCTGTTCTTCACTAAGTCGATTTAGGGCAAGCAGTTTTGTGTCATCTGCAAATATTTTACAGGATTTTTTACAGACTTAATTCTATCCAACAGGTCACTTATAAAGATCACAATGAGCATTGGTCCTAATACCAACCCTTGAGTAACACCGCCGATGCCGACCTCTAAAAAATTGAGGTCGGCATTAGGTTGGCAAAAAAAATTGGATACTTACCATAAAACATTAAAATGAGGTCGGCAATTTTTTGCCAATATCAGACACTTTGAGGTCAGCAGTTAGGGTCGTCATTGCCGAATGCCAACCCTAATTCCAAGGTTTGTATATATATATATATATATATATATATATATATATATATATATATATATATATATATATATATATATATATATATATATATATATATATATATATATATATATATATATATGTGTGTGTGTAGGGAGATTGGAGGCATAACTGCCCCCATAACATTTTGATTAATGTTATATGAAAATAAAAACATATGTGTAATTTTTAACAGTTTATTTCAATAACCACATCATTAAGCTTTAAATTGAAGCATTTAAGAAAAAAATTAAACAGTTTTTGAAAATGGTTATTACATAATAATTACACTTATTGAAAAAAACGGTTTTTCCCCCATTGTGAGCCACAACCACACCCTCACAAAAATTGTTGGGGAGCCACTTTTCTTGGTACATTTTCTTTACAATTGTCACAGCTCAGATTATTTGCTGATTTTGTTGCATGTGTTGCACTTTGTACATACAGTCTCATTCGATATATTCTTAGTTTTATATTTTATTCAAAAACTCATTTATAAAAATTAAATAAAAAAATACGAAATCTAATTTCCAAAATCTCAAAACAAAACTATTTTTATTCAAGTTTTTTCATAAACGCATTCAAATGTGATGATTGTAATTATTGTTACTTGTAATTACCTAACTTTGATAAATATCAAAAGTATGCGGTTGTGTCTCAGACCCAGAGGACATTTTTTAGAGAGAATACAGTTTCATAGCTTGCTTATTAGGTTATGATGATATCAAAAATGGTTTTCACTTGATGAAATAATGCTGATAACACATATATTTAAAACGAAAATTAAATATTGCTTAATCCTCAAAAAAAAGTTTTGGAAAAATATGATGTAAATATGTTTTTATCAAAATAAACATTATTATGCACAACTTTTCAGAAGCGTATCAAACACTCTTTTTGACATGAAGCAAAATGAAGGAAACTGTTTTACTAACGCGTGGTATGTTTTTACACGTGGTATGTTTTTGTATTTATTTTTAGAAAAGATTTTGCATTTGTTACCATTTAACACAAGCTTTAACTGTCATTTATACTTCATTTATAAATGTTAAGTAAAATGCAAATATCTTTTACAGTCTTGTATTCCATTTAAAGTTAAGAAAAATAATAAGCAATAAAAATCAATAGAGAATTGTAAAACAATTATATATCAATCATATATTTCAAATAAAAGATCTATAAATAATCTTTATAAGTGTCTTACTTTGATTTGTTAATATTAATATTGGTATAATTATATTATATACATGCTAACATTATTATTGGTATAATTATACATTATTGTTATTATATTTTTTTTTTTTTTTTTTTTTTTTTTTTTTTTAACATCTTCACTTCCAACAAGGCTGCAAGCAACCACTATAAGAGTTGGAAGTTACTGGAAGAGAAAAGACTAAATCTGTAGAGCAAGATAACGATTGACTGATGACTTAAAAGATTGCAAATTATATGAGTCAGGAAAGCAAGATGAAGGAAGCGAATTCCAAAGAACTGATGTTCGAGGAAAAAAACTAGAAGAATAAGAGTTTTTGAAGCACTTAGGAACAGTCACAGAAAAAGGATGAGACTTAATTGAATGGCGAGTAACACGAGAATGAATTTTAGTAGATGGCACAAGGGACGCTAGCTCTTTAGAGCAGTGCCCATTATAGTATTTGTAGAAAAGAGAAAGAGAAGCAACATTACGACGATGTGACAAAGGTTGGAGATTGGCTGCCAGAGCAGGTCCAACTATGTTTACAATTCGTTTTTGCACCTTGTCTAAAAGAGAAAGAGCATCATTAGAAGATCCGCCCCAGATATGGCAACAGTATTCCATACAGGGACGGATTTGAGATTTATAGAGATAGAGAATAGAATCTGGAGTAAGAAAGTGTCGAGCTCGATAAAGAGATGCAACCTTAGCAGATGCTAATTTTGCAATGGATTTGATATACGGTTTAAAAGAAAGATCAGAAGTAAGAGTTAATCCTAGAAGATGAATGGTAGATGACTCATCTAGTACATTACCATTCATAAATATAGGAAGATCTAAATTATTACGATAACGATTGGCCGAATAAAATTGAGTTTTATCTGAATTAAAGTTCACCAGCCACTGTGAGCCCCATGCTGTAGCAGAAGTGAGATCCTTTTCAAGCTCAGATACCCCCTCCAAGCAATCAGAGAGTGTAGGCTTCTTATCATGACAAGAGTAAATGGTAGTGTCGTCAGCGAATAATGCCACCTTAGATGTGAGAATATCTGGAAGATCGTTAATGTAAATTAAAAAGAGTATAGGGCCAAGGATTGAACCTTGAGGAACCCCTGAAGTTACAGGATGTGAAGAAGAGTGTTGTCCATCGAGGACAACTTTTATACTACGATTGGAAAGAAAGGACTCAATAATCTTAAAGACGTTACCAGCTACACCATAAGAAGAAAGCTTATGGAGAAGACCAGCATGCCAAACTTTATCAAAAGCTTTAGAAATGTCAAGTGCGATAGCCTTAACCTCTCCACCTCTATCTAATGCACGGTAAAACCTATCGGTTATTACTGTTAGCACATCAGCTGTAGAACGAGAAGACCGAAATCCATATTGATGATCGGAAAGTAAGTTATTTGATTCAAGATGAGAGATTAAGTGTTTGTTGATTAATGATTCAAAAACCTTGCTTATGACAGGAAGAAGACTAATGGGACGGTAGTTAGATGAATCAGATCGCTCTCCGGAATTTTTGAAAATAGGGATAACAGATGCTGCTTTCCAGCATGATGGAAAACAAGACTCTGATAAGCATTTGTTAAATAGTTTAGAAAGTATGGATGAAAGCTCCGGAGAACACCTCTGCAAGACTACAACAGGAATGTTGTCAGGACCACAAGCTGTTGAAGAGTCTAAGGAGGAAATTACTTTAGATACAGAAGCTGAAGTGATGCGAATGTCAAGCAAGGGATCAACCTGTTTGACGGCTATGTCAGGTAAAACGCAACTAGTGGAATCAAGAGATGATATTGATGAAAAGTTCTTAGCAAACAATTCAGCTTTGTCTTTAGGTGAGGTGACAAAGTCTGAACCATACAAGAGAGAAGGAATAACAGATTTGCCCTTATTATTGATACTGTTAAAGATTCTCCAGAAGTCTCGAGAGCCTAATTTTTGTGATGAGATACGAGATTTAATGACCTGGGAATAGCGAGTTTTGGCGTCAGACAAAACCTTTTTACAATGGTTTCTGGCGATAGTGAACAGATGTCTGTTTTCTGGAGAATTGTTTTGCTGATAGATATGGAAGTAACGGTTTCGATTAGAAATTGCTGCAGCGCAATGTGAGGAAAACCAAGGAGAAGAGTGAGGCTTGACCTGGAATCGTCGAGAGGGAATAAAAGATTCCATGCCAGCCTGAATCCACGAAGTTATGTAAGAAGCACATTTGTCAGCAGGAAGACGAAAGATTTCTACCCAAGGGCCATCACGAAGAAAATCACGGAAAGAGTCCCAGTCAGCTTTAAGGTAGTTGTATGTGGTACGATGATAGGGGGATTCTGATGAAGTAGAAGAATTTGATAATAGTTTTAGAGAGATCAAACCGTGATCAGAAGTACCTAAGGGTGAATGTGGAGAAATTGAGCACTGACTAGGATCCAAAACAAGACATAAGTCGAGTAGAGAAGGTAAATGATTAGGGTTGTCTGGAAAACGAGTTGGAAAGTTGACTATTTGAGTTAGAGATTGAGAAAGGCAAAAGTTGAGGGCCTTAACGCCAGCAGAGTCACTGACACTAGAGCCAAGCCAATCGGTGTGATGGGCATTAAAGTCACCAACAACGACGATATTGGCCGATGGATAAAGAGAGAGGGCTTGGTCAATTTGATCAGAAATAACATCAAGAATAGTGCAATCTTGGGATGAAGGAGAGCGATATAGAACAAAGAGAAAGGCGATAGAGTGAAGTGGTGCTAAACGAAAGCACATAAATGAATAGTCTGTAGATTCAAACCTAGTTTCACGACAAATGGGTGAGTTCTTACGAATGTAGATATCTATAATATTAAAAAATTATTTTATATACATTATTGTTTAAAGAAAAATTTAAATAAAGTAAACTTTAAAGCAAATTCAGAAAATAAAAATTTTACAAAAAATACTGGAACAAAAATTATAATCAAAAATCTTGTAAAAATGCACTTTTTTTATTTTTAGTTTAAAAATTTCAATTTCTGTTATAGAATCAAAAATAACAAATTTTTCTCTAAAATGATAATTATTTTTGAAATCTTCATGATTATTTCAGACCCATTATGTGTTTGAGAGTCATGAGCAACAAATACAAATATTTTTTATTCAAAGATTTTTAAATCCCAGTGTTATTCTATTATGTAAAACACATTTAGGTAAATGTCAAGGCATATTTAATAATTTATTTTGAACCACTCTAATATATATGTATATATATATAAATTTTAATTTAATAAATTTTTTATCAAAAAACATTTAATAAACTAAATTTAATGGTTAACAATTTATTAATGATTAAATTATCACTTGTTTAATTGTTAACAATTAGATCATTTATCAATTATTTAATGGTTAACAATTTTATCATCAATTTTTTTTTAAAAAACTGTAATGTTTTAAATGCCATTAAATTTTTTTATTTATTAAATCAATATAGTACTTTTTACACACTTGGTTTGTAATAACAGTAATAAATCTTTAGGTGGTAACCAGGTAACACAATTTCTGCATAAGGATGCCTTTCTCCTTTAGCAACAGCAGCACCAATATTCTCATAATAACTTTCAATATCATATTGAATAAATTCTAAGGATGATTCTGTGCCAATAACATGCTGACATATTGGAAATTTATATGGAAACAAATAAAAAGGTCTTTCACGTGGAAGCAAAATACCATCTTGATTTATTTCTCCAGTTGTGCAACAATAAAATATCTGAGTATCTCTTTTAAACATACCTTCAGGTAAAACACCAGTAGCTGAAAGAAATCGTTTAAAAAATTAATAAAAACAGAAAATAGTAGTAATAGAAAAAATAGTATAATTAAAAAAATACCTGTATTATTGTTGTTAGTATCCTCATCATCCCAAAATAATTCTCCTTCAACCATATTGGTGGGGCAATGTTCTCCTTTCTTATATATACAATATTGACCATTAGGCCATTCAGTAAAAGATTCTTCTACTTTAATACAAAATCCTCTAAAGACATACTCTGTAAAAAAAATTATTATTCAAAAAAAAAAAACTAAAAAAGAAAAAACTTGGTTATTTTATATTTTTATAAATTTTTAAACTACATGCCAAATTATTTAAAAACATTTTTTTGTAAGTTATTTTGAATTCACCTTTTGTGACTTCTCCAAACAAATGAAATGAATCAGAAATTTCATTTTGATTGTTTGTGTGCTCTGTATACTGCCTATAAAAACCTTCATCCCATTTAAAATTGTGGCCATCAGGACAACCAGATACAGGCATAGGTAAACCATAACTTCCACTGGGCCATGTTGTCCAAGGATATGTGCCAATAACAGCAGCTAATAAAGTTGAATTAAATTAATAATTTTCTTTTAGTTTATAAAAAATCTCATACATATATATATATATATATATATATATATATATATATATATATATATATATATATATATATATATATATATATATATATATATATATATATATATATATATATATATATATATAAATTAGTAGAAAATCACTTGACAAAATTTTGTTTTCATTTGACACTGTGTTTCATCAACAAAGACTCTTCAGAAATATATAAATTTCTGATGAGTCTAGTTGATGAAACACAGTGAAAAATGAAAAAAAATTTTTGTTAAGTGATTTTCTACTAATTTATATATATATATATATATATATATATATATATATATATATATATATATATATATATATATATATATATATATATATATATATATATATACATATATAGCTATCTTATTCACTTATGGTTATACTTGCGTCAGGCTGTCTACAGTTAATAATCCGATAATTATTAACAAATATTGTGGTTAAGTTATGCTCCCTGATCAAATAATAAACCAATGTCAATATTTTTTGATTTCTTTTGTTTTTATCAGTAAAAGCTTTTTTAAAAAAAATATAAGTATAAACTTTATATTTATATAAAATGTAATTTTCTAAAATAAAGTACGCAAAATAATAATTAAAAGATGTTTATTAACACAAATTCTTAATAGTTTGTTGATGCTCCCTTTTTTTTCATCACTGCACAAAATTGATTTGGCATACTATTAATTTCTTTCATTTTTTTTTCAAGTTGCATTGAAAATTCAATCCTAAATAAATTATTCAACCAATTGGGTCCTATTTGTGACCAACCAGTTTTTTCAACCAATTAGGTTGTGAGGTTTTCTATGAAAATTTTATGAGATTTATATCCAGGAAATTCGCTGGCCATCTAAAATATTAAACTTTGTTCCAATCCAATAACTATTTAATGGACTTTAATTTGTGGCATGGGCTTCATCTTACATTAATATTTTCCTCTCTTTAGGAACCAAAAAATATATTTTTTGTGTTCGTCCAGTTATTTCATTCACTCCAGCATTTAAAGTAAGTAGTGTATAAAGTATATATATATATATATATATATATATATATATATATATATATATATATATATATATATATATATATATATATATATATATATATATATATATATAATTATAATTTTATATAATATATATATATATATATATATATATATATATATATATATATATATATATATATATATATATATATATATATATATATATATATATATATGTGTGTGTGTGTATATATATATATATATACTTTCCACTAAACATTTTAGCAAACACCATGAAACTTTCTAGCAAACACATTTTTTAGAAAGCAGCTAAAAACTTTCCAGCAAGTAAGTGAAAACTTGCTGGAAACTTTATTTGCATATAGTTTACCAGTTGCTTGCTGAATACAACTATTTTTATTTTAATTAATTTTTTAATGGAAAATATTTCTGCTTCAAATTGTAAATAAAATTTTAAAAAATGACATATAGCAATTCCTACATTTTATTCTACGACATATTGGCATCGTTTGATTGGTTATATTCTTGTTTATTAACTGCATTTTTAGTTCATTAGCTTCACCAAGACTGCTTTTAAGTAGCTTGTTAGCTAAAAATGCTAATAAAAAGAAGTTTGTTTTCTCTGAAGTGTTATACAAAGAAACTCCATGATATCTTCTGCAATCATTCGAAAGATTTCTTGAGTTCAAGTTGTTAATCATAATGAAACATTCGGTAGAATCTGGAGTTGTAGACCATCCTTCAAGACAGCCTAAAAAAAATATTATACAAGTTAACAAACCGAAAAATTAAACAACTTTTGTTGTTCTAGCTTAAATATACAAATAAATCATACCATAGCATCCTTTTGGTTGTTCTTTTGAGGTTTCATTGCATAGACAGTAATAATCTTCATAGAATTGAACACAAAATGTGCCTTCTGGACATGGAGATTCAGAACACTTTAAATTTTTTATGCCTAAAAAGTAAATTATTTTATTGCACCTTATATTAATACTAAGAAATGATTTTTAGTAAATTTTTGGAAAAAAATACTTATTAAAATATTTTTATTATTTGTTATTAAATAAAATACTTAAAAATGATATTTTTAAAAGCTTCTAAAACAATTCAACAGGATAAATTCTCTTAACAATTTAGACAAAACAATTATGAAAAAATAAATTCCCTAAATACATTTTAAACAATTAATTGAAGAATTAGTTCACACATGTGGACCAAAAATTTATGTATTTTTATAAAGGGATAATACATTTATTAATCATCAACACAAACATACACACACATACACACACACACACACAAACACACACAAACACACACACACAAACACACACACATACACAATCAAAATCTAAGCATATAAACCCTAATTCTTACATTGTTTATTTACAGATTGATTCTGTAAAACAAATTAAACATACCTGTATGAAAAACATGTTTATTGTATCCATTACCACAGCTGTAGTAGGGGTTGTATGAACATGCAGATAAGCAGCTTTCTTCTTCTGCAACCTCAAAATAGGTTACATTTTGATAGCATGAACACTTTGTATGTGTTTCACCAAGTGCAGCATAAGTGTAACCAAGCATTTGGCAAACTTTTATGCAAATTTGTGGAGTAACAATGTTTGAAATATTAATTTCTGATTCTTCTGATGGTGTTCTTATTTTACGACATCCAATGTATTTGATTCCTTAATAAAAAAATTAAAAAATTATTAATTAATAAAAAAATATCACTTGTATCAAATGTTTTGTAGGAGTTTATGACTACCTAGCTTCAGTATGAAGAACAGTTTGTTTACAATTATTCAGAGTACACCACTACCACACCACTACACCACTAGCACTACCACACCACTACACCACTGGCACATTATTTTTAACTTTTATAGATGGTAATATCAAGTTGTTACATATTGGAATAAAATTAAATAATTTATAATAAATATTTATAATATTTATTATAAATACATTTTATTTTATGATTTTCTTTATGCACTTTTTTGTTCTATTTTTATGACGTTATTTTTCTTACGAGTAGAGTGACTGTTTTACTTATATATTTTAAATTTTTCATGTTTTTTTTTTTTTTCACTTTGAACCCCCTTTTTTTTGTTTTAAAATTTTAAAATTAAATTCAAAAGTTATTAGATTTTATTAATATATTTTACTCCAATAAACAAGAATTGCTCCACAAGGTTCAAAAAGTGTTGCTCTAAGTATAACTCCAATCATTAAGTGTTGCTCTGAATATAAAATGTAACCTTAAGCATAAAGTATGAATCAAATCATGAAGTAAA